GGGGGGGCGGGGGCTAATAAAAAGCTCACAAAACAAGCGAACACTACCACTGGTCAGAAGCCAACAATTCACACATTCATACAAAATGATTATTGTGTTCCATTATTACACATACAGAGAAACAACGTGTACATAAGTATTCATTTCAGTAAATCCAGAGAATTCAGTAAATCTATTTTGAACAAAACTTCTGCAATCACTCAAGAGCGTCGTGGAGTTGTGGCCTCTTTGGATCTGAATGCTGAAAGTGATACCGTGGAAAACGAACCACATTTTGAAGCTGGTCAGAATGGCGACGTCTTGATGCATTGGGCAAGGATGAATCCTAAAAAAAAAAAATATTAATGTTACTTAAAAGTTACCAAAAATACTGATCTAAAACTAATCATCCATAGAAAACAACCGAGATGAACAGCCACGAACATATGAATGACACAAATGTTACCTCTAATCTACAAATGAATTGCTTCCAGGCCTTTCCTTGATTTTCTTCTACACTACACTAGTCTGTGTAATATTAGAAGACTGCAATGAAACAGACATTACAGATTTGACACAAAATTTCCATGAAGGTGAAAGATAAACATCTCGGGTTTACTTTCTGTTTTTTCCAAAAGATTTCAGAAATCATCTCTGTTCCCTTTTTGGTCCTTGTTTACTCGGTTTAGTTCATTCTTTTTAGTTGTGGTAGTTTCTGATTAATCTTTTGTTTGTCTGCTAGGTCACGGTTTATTCCTTGTGTGTTCCACCCGTATCTTGTTCATCACCTGTTTGGTGTATTTAAACCCTCTCTTTCACTTCATTGTCGGTTTATCTGTCAGTAGAGCAAGGAGGTTATGAGGCAGGATCTAATCGCAGCAGCATTTATTAATCAAAAATCCAAAAATCAAACCCTTAGAAATGTTGGGCAACAAACTAACCATGAGGCAAGCCAAGTGTGCATAGATGAGAACACAAAGACTGAATCAGAGGATTTTCAGAAAGAGGGTTCACAGGGTTTTCATTTCAGTTGTTGGGTTTTCAAAAGAAAACAAATAAGATTACATGGTTTTGTTTGTTTGTTTAAGGGTTTTCTGGGAAACTATATTTTCAGATTATCTGATACGCATGGTGCCTGAAACAGGAAAACACCCTGATTTAAAGCCAATGTAGCCATTAAAGCAGGTTCATTATGAAACAGATATTAACAGTAAGAAAATACATATTATAAACTCTACAGTTTTCATATGAAGTGATACTGAAATGCCATTTAAAACAACTATAAATATGTAGAAGGGGCAATGGGCAACAGTTAAACACCTGGACTGTGCTCCCCTATAATGTCTCACCAGTTCATTGTCAATCAAGGATGAGGCTGACCCTCCCGTAGGCGCTGGTTTTGCCATGGAGCCCCGCAGATCCAGACTGCTCATCTGAGAGCCAGAGTTCAGGGTGGGATTGGACCATCCGGACAAACAGTGCTGCAAAATTCATATTTTATAGAGAATCACATTTATCAAGAAAACTAAAGGTTAAAGGTCTATATTATGTACAAAAATATTCAAACACATTTACATATCCATAGAAACTACGGATCCAAGGCACTTCGATCCAGTTACAATTTCCAAACCAATAATTCTTAAAATAATACTTTAAGAATTATTGGTTTGGAAATTGTAACTGGATCGATTAGAAAGGGTGATAGATTACAAAGACTTCTACAAAGGGAAGCCTTTTGGATTTTTCAGCTAAAAGCCACCATTTTTCCTGGTTTGAATGAGGAATTAGATTTAACTCCATATTTGTGAAATGATTATCAGTACGATTATTATTATTATTATCAAGATATATATATATTATTTTGTATATGTGATTATACTTTGAAATTGTTAATGATACTATTGGTCCCCCCTGTAATGAGTATTTTGGTTTCTCCCATTTCTACTGAGCAACTGATTATAACTACACCTGTGACTAATTTTTACTTGACACACTCTGAGAAAGGCTGGATGGCTGAAATGCATCAGTGTGCAGTGTTCTAGTCATTTTTAATGTTTCTAGAGTGAGCCATGTTTGAATAAAAGCTTTTTAACATTTTGGAACTGGAAGAAGTGCCTTGGATCCGTAGTTTCTATAGATATCATTCTGAACCCTACCAAAGAGCACCTTCTGGGACTATTAAACGGAGGTCCTTTCAGCAAGTAGTGCTCCAAGATGTTTTCTTTGACATTTACATATCCATTAACAAAGCTGTCACGCACATTATTAGTCAATGCCGATAATCTCAAAGGCTAAATATCACCAGGTTAATCGGTCAGGTCTATCAACTTTAGTCTATCACTTGAGAATTCAATGTTAATGCTGATTTGACTATATGAAACTCACCGAGGGCAAACCCAGGCTGTCAGAGGGGTCAAAACTGCTGCGGCGATGGGCTTTGTATTTGTACGCTGGCAGCAGAGTTGAGCGAGGAATACTGACCCTGAAACAAATGCATAGAGATCATACAGATACTCAAACAGTCACTCAATCACACACCAAATAAAATAAAACTAAACAGAACTAAGATATGAATGAAACTGCAGTTTTCTGACCTGTAATGTCTACAGATCCTCTGAACCATTTTATATTGGACTGGCATGGCACATAATTGTCTGAATCTAAAATGTATTCAACTACTTGGTATATTTAGAATAACTAAAATGAACATTTTGTTTAAAATGAAAAACTACATGAATACCAAAATTATATAGAGATTTTTTCTCTCATGCTCACAGAGGCTGCGTTTATTTGATCAAAAATACAGTAGAATCGGTGATATTGTGAAATATTATTATAATTGTAATTTTTTATTTGAATATATTTTAAAATGTCATTTATTTCTGTGTTGCAAAGCTGAATTTTCAGAAATCCTTCTAATATGCTGATTCGCTGCTCAAGAAACGTTTATGTTTCATGTTGAAAACAGCTGCTCAATACTTTTTTTCAGGGTGCTTTGATGACTATAAGATTCAAAAGAACAGCATTTATTTGAAAAATAGAAACTTTTGTAACATTATAAATGTCTTTAGTGTCATTTTTGATCAATTTAATGCATCCTTGCTGAATAAAAAGCATTAATTTCTCTCCACCAAACTTATTACAGGTAACATATGAATAAATGGGCACTTTGACATATGCACCTGATTAAAGCAGGCTCTCTTTCAGTATGAGGGTGTTCAGATTTGGGCATCTTGCACACTGGACAGGCAGCTTGTGCGTCCAGCGGAACTGCAAACAGTCGACTGTTTATTCTGTAGCAGAATGTGCCTGTGGACCAAGGGCCAAAGGGAAAATGAAGAGAATTATCATGATGTAAAAAAGCATGACAAAGCGATGTCATGCAAACCCAAATCAGCAGATCTCTTACACTGATGTGTGTCTGTATGTGGCTGCGGCTCGTCACTGTCAAATGAGGGAGATGCAAGATCAGCAACAGATGGAAATCTGTTGGGAAAAAATAACATTTGCATGATCAAAACATCTTTTGACATCTTTTGAGCTCGCAGGATTAAGCGTATGATTTGTGAGATATAAAGCAACAGACACCAATGTGTTACAGCGATTTTACCACGGTTAAGAGACATCAAAAGGAAGGATGAAGGTAACCTTCAGTGCTTTGTAGAAGAACTCATTATCAACATAGAAAGAGACCGACCCTGATAACAAGCTGTGGACGCACTCGTCTCGATTGGCCTGACGGAATCTGCTGAGATCGCTAAAGAACTGCTCCGAACGATCTTCAAGAGAGCTTTCAGCGTCCACTAGGCCTAAAAATAAATCAAACTGTAACCTTCATGGTTTCCAAACAGCACCTGCATGGAAACTGTGGTGCATTCCATCTATGCAAATTAAAACGGGAAAAATCTTCCATTCAGCCCACCTGCTATCCAATCATAGCCCAGTAAAGGCCGTATGTTTCGCTCTGATATAGTATCCATCTCCAGCCCAGCAGTCGTTGAGCTGTCAGTCTCTCTCTGTAGTCCCAAGAAAAAAAAAAAAAACACATCTGATACTCTTGAAATGAAAACACTACAGCCGTAGCAGATGGGGATTTCTTTCTACGTGGGTGCTTTTTCACTTCTTTGGAAATCAATGTAAACCTTAAGTTCTCCATTAGATTTGTAAACTATTTTTTCTCTACTGTATACTGGTTACCTGGTGCCATCTAGCAAATATGAACCAAGTTGACTAACAGTCTTCATCAGTTGACTAACCGTCTTAATGCATCAATGTTCAAGTGCACATACCTGGTCACAGGAGCTGAGAGGTGCAGATTTGGAGAGCTTCAGTCTCAGAGATCTGCTCTGTCCCTTCCAGCGACTGTTCGCTGTGTCTTGCAGTAGTGCGCTGTACGTGCTCAGTTCTAAAC